ATTGAACTTAAATTATTCATTTATTCATAATTTAGCATATTTTCTGAAGATATTCGATTATTAAATCCCTTTATATCAACCATATCAAATTTTTAATTCTTAAATTAACTAGAGTTATGATAATTATTTTGATATTAAATTTGTTCAAAAAAAATAATAATCGGTTATATTATGCTCAATGAACTATAATATTCAATCTAACCCTTTTCTTCTGTTGTAGCAATGATCTTTAGAGGTTTCCTGTAATAGGGAAGACTATACTTAGATCTTTTCCCTTTTCTTCTGTTGTAGCAATGATCTTTAGAGTGACACTGAATATGTTGAGTAATATCCAGTATTGTGAAAAGCGTGCATTTCCTCGCTTAAAGCGAGAAGCGAAGCGAACCGACCCATCGAGTGCTTTTACTATCTAAAGCATAGCAAGTATTAAAAAACGAGCACTTCTCACTAAAAAGCGAGAAGCGACAATGCGAAGCGATGTAGAGAAGCGAGCGCTTCTCTGCCTTAAAGGGCTGCCAACCTATTTAATTATAAAAGATATTCTTTTTTTAAAACATATCGACCAGTAGCATAACAGAGAATGAAAGAGGCGAATAGGGTTCAAGTTTTCTATCGACCAGTTGCAACAGAGAAACATTTGCTTACATGTATGTGATTTCTTATTCCTCATCCTCCTCCTCCTCCTCCTCCTCCTCCTCCTCCTTCTTCTTATACTTTTTCTTTTTCTTTCACTGTTTCAACGTCCAAATAGCAGCGAAATATTGGCGATTTTTTTTCCCTTTAGTTCTTCTTTCTCATTCTTCTCCTCTTTTTCTTCTTCGTTTTCTTGCACTGTTTTTTCGTTTGAAATGCTGCCCATTTTTTACTGGAATGGTATACTTCCCTTTCTTTTATTTTTATATCATTTATTCTTAGTTCTTATTGTCTTTTTTATGTGTTATGTTATTGTTCTTTTAATGGCACCAAAAGAAGATAGAAAATGTAACGACCCGGCCGGTCGTTTCGAGAGTCATAGCCTTGTTTCCCCTATTTCTGTTTCTTTATGTGTTATTTAGCCGTATTGTGTTGTATCGAGTTGGTTGGTTCGGGTCTGGAGTGGTTTTGGAATGGAATGAGATACGTAGTCTCTTATTCAGAACCTTAAGTTGGAAAAGTCAACTGGATATTGACTTATGTGTAAACAATCTCGAATTTGAATTCTGATGGCTCCATTGGCTTCGTTAGGTGATTTTGGACTTAAGAGCCCGTCCGGATTGTGATTTGGAGGTCCGAAGAGGAATTAGGCTTGAATTGGCGAAAGATGGAAATTTGGCGATTCCGGCCGGCCGTGAAAAATTTGATATCGGGGTCGGAATGGAATTTCGAAAGTTGGAGTAGGTTCGTAGTGTCATTTGTGACGTGTGTACAAAATTTGAGGTCATTCGGACGTGGTTTGGTTGGTTTAGGCATCGGTTGCCGAATTTAGAAAATTTAGAAGTTCTTAGGCTTGAATCCGAGGGTAATTTGGGTGTTTTGATTTTTTTTGAGTGATTCGGAGGTTCGACTAAGTTTGTATGTTAATATATGACTTATTGATATTTTTGATTGAGATCCCGAGGGCGTTGGGGTGATTCCGGGTGGTTAACAGATTTGTCGAAGTTGGAAAATACAGCTGAAGCTACTGCTACTGATATTTCCGCACCTGCGGAAAGGGAGTCGCAGGTGCGGGGCCGCTGGTGTGCATGGAGGTTCGCAGGTGCGGGCAGTGCTGGGCTAGGCGGGATGCACAGGTGCGAGAAGGCTATCACATCTGCGAGCCCGTAGGTTTAGGCATTGGTTGCCAAATTTGGAAAATTTAGAAGTTCTTAGGCTTGAATCCGAGAGTAATTTGGGTGTTTTGATGTTGTTTTGAGTGATTCGAAGGTTCGACTAAGTTTGTATGTAGATATATGACTTATTTGTATTTTTGGTTGACGTACGGAGGGCGTCGGGGTGATTCCGGGTGGTTAACGGATTTGTCGAAGTTGGAAAATATAGCTGAAGCTGCTGCTACTGATATTTCCGCACCTGCGGAAAGGGAGTCGCAGGTGCGGGGCCGCTGGTGCGCATGGAGGTTCACAGGTTCGGAAAGTGCTGGGCTAGGTGGGATGCGCAGGTGCGAGAAGGCTATCGCATCTGCGAGCCCGCAGATGCGGAAGGAAGGAAGAAGGCTGGCTTCGCAGATGCGGTGTGGCACGCGCAGGTGCGACAGGTTGGCCGCAGATGCAGAACCTGGGCTCAAAAGTGAGTTCCGCACCTGCGATGGATTTTTTTGCAGGTGCGGTTGGGCAGAAGCGAGAAATGGTCCGCAGGGGCGAAAAAGCCTGGGCAGAAACCATAAATAGAACCCTTCGCGAATTTGGCTCATTTCCACCATTTTCAAGTCTGTTTTTGGAGCTTTTGGAGTGATTTTTGAAGGGTGATTCAAGGCCTATCAATGCGGTAAGTTTCTTGAGCCCTAATTCTCGTATATATGGTGATTTCCCGTTGTTTAATCATGCAATTAGTGAAAATGAGGGGTTAGGGCTTAGGATTTTTTGGAGAGTAATTTAAGGATTTGAAGGACCAAACGATGTCGAATTTTGATAAATTTTGTATGTATGGACTCGTGAGTGAATGTGCTTTCTAGTTTTGTAAATTTATTCAGATTTTGAGACGTGGGCCCGGGGGCCGGGTTTGAGCCAATTTTGGGTTTTTGGGCTAATTTGATAGTTTTTCTTCTCGAATTCATTCCATTAGCGTATATTGATGGTATTGTACCGATTGTGAATAGATTCAGAGCATTTGGAGGCCAAGACTAGAGGCAAGAACATTGCGGGGTAGAGATTTGACCGGTTTGAGGTAAGTAACGATTGTAAATCTAGTCCTGAGGGTATGAAACCCCGGATTTCGTATCATTCTATTATTTTTAGGTGACGTACATGCTAGGTGGCGGGCGTGTGGGCGTGCACTGTTGGGGATTCTGACTTGGTCCGCCCCGTAGCAACTGTAAAGTTGCATATTTTGTTGAAACTATATGATACTTATATGTTTTCGAAAGAGTTTCTGTAAATTGGGCTGAATGCCATGTTTGGGCCTTGTGCCAGTGCTATTTGGACCCTTAGGAGCCTTTTCTTACTATCTTCTCACTGTTTTTGATTTAAAAATCTATAATCAGTCATGGTTATACCTGTTTACTGCATAACTCAGTTTTCTTACTCTATTTTGATGCATATAATTGTTGTTTTGGGCTGAGTACCATGTTTTTACTGAAATGCCAGAGTGGCTTGAGAAGTTTATGACTGAGTGAGATTAAGGGTCTGATTTGTGAGGATATTTATGGGATTGGGTTGCACGCCACAACATGTTTGATATAGGCCGAGGGTTTGAGTGATTTATGCCATGATTTGGCCTGATATAGCGCTTGGGCTGAAGGAACCCCTCCGGAGTCTGTACACACCCCCAGTGAGCGCAGGTACCTACTGAGTGCGACTGCCGAGTGCTAAGTGACTGTGAGGCATGAGTGATTGTGAGGTATGCCCGAGTGGCAAGAGTGATTGTGAGGTATACCCAAGTGACACGAGTGACTGTGAGGTTTGCCCGAGGGGCTGTATATGAGTGATGCTTTGCCCGAGGGGCTGATTATGATTTCATCATTTTTGCTCACCTGTGCATTTTTCCTCTATTTGAAACTGTTAAATAATATCTTTAAATGATTTTTTACTGGGACTGGGTTTTAAACGAGATGATTTGATTGAAACACTAATTTTAATGCATGTTGTATTTTTACCGAGATTTCATGATATGAACTTTATATGCTTTATTGCTCCTCACTACTGCTCAGTCTTTATTTATTGTTGTTACTTACTGAGTTGGCATACTCACGTTACTCCCTACACCTTGTGTGCAGATCCAGGTGTAGCTGGACACGGTAGCGGTTGTTGATTATTCTTGTTGCAGATTTTTTCGGGGATAGCAAGGTAGCTGCTTGGCGATCGCAGCCCCTGCTCTTCTCCCGTTTATCTTCCTTTAGTTGTATTTAGCTATTTTTCCAGGCTAAGTTAGCCTTGATATTGTTAGATAGATTGTAGTAGATGCTCATGACTAGTGACACCCCGATGTCAGGCTTTTCTTTTACGCACTTTTATTTTGATTTGAACTCCTTTATGAAGGTTTTTATGTTAAATGGCCTTGAAATTTATCCTTAAAATAAAAAAATATTGGTTTGTTTTGGAAATGAGTCATCTTGTCTAGTTCTGCGATAGGCGCCATCACGACAGGGTTAGTTTGGGTCGTGACAGGAAAGACCCGGCTTGGGCTTATTCTATAAGAGTTAGCGAGACCAACAAGATGACAATTAGATATCTTTTTTTGTGACAAGATTTCAAATAGGGGAATCTATTGTCAAAAAGCGCATCTAATCGGTGGTGATCCAAATGTCGCATCTTGTCCTAAAGTTCTGTCGCATGTGAAGGAAGAACTGAAAGCATTCCTTCAAAAAAGAGAGAGTTAAAGACTCAAATGTTTCATGAACAAGAACTGTATAATCTTGATGATGACGATGATGAATTAGAAGAAGGTGGCGATGCTTCGTCGCTTCCATCAAAATCAGAAAAGCGGGGAAGGATGCAAATAATGTCTTCTAGTTGTGGATCTACTGCCAAGACCAAAGGTCCTATGGATTGTTATTTCCTGCAAAAATCAGGAAATAAGGGAGGAAAAAGAGGTAATCCTCAAATTGATGCCAAAGTGATTTTGAGGGATCGTGCATTTACAATGTTTGCGCGGTGGATATATTATGCAGGTCTTCCTTTTAATTGTGTTAATTATACTGATACTTTTTCTTCTTTTATTGAGGTCGTAGGCTAATATGGTCCTGGAATGAAGCCTCCAACTTATCATGAAGTTAGAGGACCATACCTAAAAAAAAGAGAGGTGGAAGAGACTAACAAAATCGTGAGGAGCACAAAGTAGAATGGAACAAGTTTGGTTGTTCCATTATGATGGATAAGTGGACAGCAAGAAATGGAAAAATGCTCGTCAATATCTTGGTGAATTCTCCGAAGGGAAGCTGTTTTCTTGAATCCATTGATGCAAGCGACTCTTCTACTGATTCAACCAAAATGTACTCCTTGTTCAAGAGTACAATAGACTCTATTGGAGCAGAAAATGTTGTTCAAGTTGTCATTGACAATGCTAGTGCAAATGTTAAAGCTGGTGATTTGATGTCTGTAGGGTACCCGCATATTTATTGGACTCCGTGTGCAGCACATTGCATTAATTTGATCTTCGATGACATTTTCAAGGAAAGACCCTTCAGTTCAGTCTTTAATCAGGCAATTAGAGTGCATTCCTATATTGTTAAAATACCTTTGTTATTGAATATGATGAAGAGATTCACTAAACAAAGAAGCTTGGTGAAACCTGCAAAGATAAGATTTGCTACCGCTTTCTTGACTTTGCATAGGATGTATAAGCAAAAAAGCAATTTAAAGAAGTTGTTTGTTTCAGATGAGTACACTAACGGTGTCTATGGAAGGGAAGCTCGAGGGAGAGAATCTGCAGATATTATATTTTCTACTTCATTCTGGAACAATGTGGTTCATGCATTGAAGATTGGTGGTCCTTTAGTTAAAGTGCTTCGTTTAGTAGATGGGGAGCAAAGGCCACCAATGGGCTACCTTTACGAAGCAATGGATAGGGCAAAAGAGGCTATTCAAGACTCTTTTAGTGATCAAAGAAAATACAAAAGAGTCTTTGAGATCATAGATAAAAGGTGGGACGGTCAGATTCATCGCCCTTTGCATGCAGCTGGACTTGTTTTGAACCCGGAACTATTTTATGAAAATGAAGAGATGATTCTAGGAGATGAAGAATTATGGAAGGGATTCATTGAATGTATTGTGTATTTAATACCTGATTTATCCGTGTAAGATAAAATAACAGAGCAATTTAGTACTTATAGGAATGCTGAGCAACTTTTTGGAAAAAACATGGTGATTAGATAAAGAAAGATGAAGTCACCAGGTGAGCGAGTGCTTATATGTTGCTTTAGAGTTAATACGTTATTTATTTATCAATATTATATTTTGAATATTTGTTCTACTTCTAAAGTTGAATGGTGGAAACAATATGGCCATTCTGCTCCAGAATTACAAAAGTTTGCCATCAAGGTTCTAAGTCTAACATGTAGCTCATCCGGGTATGAAAGGAATTGGAGCGTGTTTGAACATGTAAGAGATAAGAAGAAAGATTTAGTATATTGAGATAATTAAATTATATCTCAATTGTCCTAATCTTACAATTACTTATTATTTACAGATTCATACCAAAAAGAGGAACAAACTAACCTTGAAGCGTCTCAATGATCTAGTCTTCATTAAGTGCAATAGAACAATGAGGCGTCATTACAACACTCGCAATGTAATTGATCCAATTAGTTTGGACAATATCGATGATGCTAATGAACGGCTAACTGGAGTCCCGGAAGATCATGCATATGAAGAATTATTTGAGGAAACTTCTGAATTCACTTGGGGTGATGTTGCGGAGGCGCGTGGAATTGGGGAGAGGATTTATGGTTTGAGGGGGACTACCTCAACTTCAAGTTCATAGAGGAAGGGAGAAGAAGCAGCTACTTTGTCCCTAGTTGATGAAGAAGAAGAAGAAGAAGTTGAAGAAGATGACGAGCAATATAATAATGATAGTGGAATACAAGAATTTGACAATCTTGTAGAAGAATAGGATGCTCATTTTGTGCTTTAATTAATGCTACTCTTTAGTTTTTACATTGAAGTATAGAACATTTTCTTACAGTTACATGTGTTGTCTATGCAGTATTTTTTTTTATTTTTTTAAAATTCCGCTTCACTTCAAAAAAGCGAGCACTTCGCTTCTCGCTTTAAGCGAAAAGGGGGTTTTCGCTTTTTCTCGCTTCACGCTCTTCACAATACTGGTAATATCTAGTGTTACTCATCCCTAAATAAGGAGAAAATTAAGGCTATCAACTCAATAGAGAATTGGCAGCTTCTGCCTCTCACCCCAAAGGATTATTTCTTCAGGCTCTTGCTTATCCTCCGTCGACATTGATTTATATTGCTGCTGCAGAAATTTATGGTGGTAACGCTCACCTCTCAGAGCTCACATCTTGCTTTCCACATGTTATTTTCAAGGTTTGTACCAGCACCTAATCGTTCTGGCTGTCCAGGCAGCTCGAAGTTGATTTCTTTCACAAATAGTGTGTTTTACCTACCAAACCACAAATGTCTTATTGATGGCAGGAAATGCTGGCAATGCCAGAAGAACTGAGAAGGTTTGTAAGTCATGCCTAACAAACTGCAGCACTCGATTATCTCAAATCTGTCGAAAATGATGTTTTTATTCTATCACACTCAGGTAATATAGAAAGAGTAGTTGAGAGGCACCACAGATTCTTAGGACACCAAAAAACAATCACTCCTGACAGGTACTCAAGTAATTAAAGAAAATTTCACAGTTGCTTCTGATTGGTATATGTTTGATCAAAAAGTGTAACTTTCGGCTAAACTATTAAATTTATGTAATAATAGGTTAAATCTAGTTAAAGATAATAACTCTAGAAGTAAATCTTGAAAACGTATGGGAGATGGGGACATATCCCGTAAAGGATTGATAACAATAAGTACAAAATATTCTTAAAGTATGAGCAATAATATAGGTGTAACTAGCAATAAATAACAATAAATGATATTTATGTAAATAAGACGAATGATTCACCCAATAACGGATGGATTGGAAGAATGTCCCTCTTGACAATAATGAATGACAGATAGATCTGAGATTTATTTGATCAATCCTGGTATCTGGTGAAAAGGTGTGGAATAATATGAGCAAGAATCTTGATAAAAAAGTAATCTTTGTATTTTTAAAAGAGAGAGAATCTTTTCCTGAAAAGTGTTCTTATCAGATGAATATTACCCCCTATTCCTTTTCTTTCTCCCTTATATATTTGACACATATCCCTAGCAAACCATAATAGTATAAGTGTAGAGAATATTCACAATATTCTCTAGAATATTAAAGAGAATATTCACTAGAATATTCTCTTTAATATCCTATTTCGAAAACTAGCCATTGTTGTTCTTTCAACGATGCTCGACCTCGGCCATCACTACCTCATTTACCACGAACCTCACTATCACATGCTAACCTCGACTGATTCTTTCCTTAATGATGCATTACCCTAAAATATTTTGGGGCGGATTTTGGCCTGTACAGTTAGTCCCTCCGCTTATTGAGGCCGACATCAGGGGGGCTCGATGAGCGGATATTGTGTAACGTGACCAAAATATTTAGATGATATGAACAAGTCGTGATGATTGGGGCGAGTAGGCAGCGTGTCCCATTGTGAGCCACAAGTTCTGGGGTTGTAAATCTCGTGAATCAAGGTGACGTCATGGCGACTGACGTCATTGTGAGGCGATTTCCAGAGACGTTGCTTCATTTCGTGCGCGTCTCCTGATTGAGACTGCCGCTTCGGTTATAGTGCCATGTAATGATGGTTAGTTCCTTGTTTTTGATGCATGCATCCTTATAAATAGGGGCGTGTGTTTGAAACTTTGTATCTTCTTCTTCTTCCATTGTTTGAAACTTCTTACCGGTTTTAGTGATTCTCGCTGCTTCTAACATTTCCTTACTCGAACATCTTCCCTTAATCGTCATAACTAAGGTATCCTCTATTTCTGGTATGGCAACGGATCCTACCCCTTTGGTGGTGCTCATACCCCCTCACGTCGATAGGGTCTCTATCGTCGTTGAGAAAGAGAACTTTCCTACGGTAGAGGAAATAGTCCCCCGTAGTGAGAAATTTAGGTCCGATTTCTCGAAGGCAACCAAAGTTGAGCCCGAAATCTCGGAGTCAGCGATGGGAGAGGCCAATCTGGCTGAACTTAGGGCAAAATTCAATATCCGTGCCCACATCGTTCTGATCCCGGCAAGATGGGACGTGGTGCAAATCCATCGTCCTGGATATTGAGCGCTTTACGCATATCCTTTCCAGGTTGGCTATACTCTCCCCCTTCTCCCATTGGCGGAGGAATTTTGCCATTTTTATGGTGTCTTCCCGACCCAACTCTCTCCATACATTTACAAGCTTATCAGGATGCTCTCAAAATTTGCCGAGTTGGCCGGAGTCGAGGTCACACTCCGTCACCTGATGCATCTCTTCTCCCCTAGATTTTATAGGGGGACGGTGTTGCATCTTCACCACCGAGGGAGTAAATGCTTGGTGGTGAAGATGGACGATAAAGCAAACCGTCAGTTCTGGCTCAACTACCTCTTTGTCACAAGCGAGGACGTGGTAGCCAATGCGGAAGTACCCGTCTTTTGCTAAAGGAATTTGATTTGTTTGTTTTTAACCGTAAATTCTAAACATATTTTCTTCCTTGTGCAGCCAAAATCGTGCCTCCTCCATTGGTCGGGAAAATTTCTGACTGGGTTGGCCGGATTCTGCCCCACACGGTAGGGATTCGCGAGTGGCTGGGCTTTCTCAAGAGGTTCGGGCCTATTTTTTCCTTTGCCGGTGAGTTCGTCTGTTATTTGTATTCCTCCTTTGACCACATGGTTACTCGCCCGCTACAGTTCATTGTTGGTTATGATAAAACTTAATTTCTTTTTCAGTTCGAGGGTCCTCGAAGAGACCGAAGGCTCCTCCTCCTACATTTCGCAAGAGGGAGGCTGCTTCTTCTTTGGAGTCTGTTCCTACTGTGACCGTGGCTAGACCTGCTTAGTCATATGCCTCTGTTCGTTCATCTGCCGGGGCCAATCCTACTCGTTCGTTAACCACACCTACTGCTGCTTCCGTACCATCTTCTTCTGCACCCGTGGACATATCGTCAGTGGGGTTTCCAACTTCTCCTTTGCTTCCTCTAGTAGACGAGGACGATGAAGAGGAATCGTCGCCGAGTGGTGGTAATTTGCTTCACTGCAAGAGGATATTGGTGGACGTCGGCGAAGGAGCTGTCAGGGTGGTGAATTCGGTGATGGTGGATTTTGTCGTCCGAGAAATAACGACCATAGAACTTGAAGATGACGCCCAATTACCACCCGTGATTCCGCCATCGTCTGAAGCCAAAGAGGGTACGTCTCTCCCTGAGACCATGATTGAATTTGAAAGACCATCGGCGGGAGTCCCTGACGACTTGAGGTAGGATGAGCCATCGGCCTCGCGATCTGCCGAGGATCCTTCTTCGAGGGCCGACATAAAAGGAAAATGCATACCCGAAGAAGGTTACAAGACGGGTTCTAATGTGGATGCCGAGGAGATGAGGATGATGGGGGAGGGATTTACCCGACTCGAGGTAAAGTTGGAGGGGACCGAGACTATTGCGATCCCCATGGATCGAGATTTGTTGGTTGACACGGAGGACGTGGTACCTTCTCTTGGTCCCCTCTGTTCTGATGTGGAGGGTAAGACCCTTGAAAAGCTGAAGGATTCCACTTTATCTAGGAGCATAGCCGGCCTCGCTCTAAGGGTAAGTTTTTTTTATCCCTATTCGTTTTTGTATGTCGAGTTCAAAGTTTCATTCTTACTCTTTGTTTTCTCTTTCTCTTTCTTTCAGACTGTGATTTTGGAGATTGAGAGCACCCGAAGAGAGGAGAGGCATAAGGCTATTTTTTTGAAGATAGAGAGAGAATAATCTGTAGGTGATTTGGTGAAGGCGGAAAATTTCGAACTCTCCGAGACGAGCTGAAGGAAAAAGATGACGAGCTGGTGAAGGTCATCGAAAAATGCAGTGTTCTCGAGGGGGCATTAAGGGACAAAGAGAAGGAGTTGGAAGTTAGTATAGGGGTTGAAGCCCAGTGTAGTGATCTTCAAGCCTGGTCTCGTTGCGCACCGAGCTCGAGGAGTAGGAGTTCAAAGCGGGAGCTTTAAGTGGTGAGGTCACCGAGAAAG